TCTGTGGAAATCACTCTAGTTTCCGAACGAAATGAAGTAGGTGTGTATTATGTCTGCAGGATTTTTGATATTGAAAATGAGGCATGTAGGTCCACGTTTTGGTATAGCCCCCATATAACTGTACCTAGCGACATTATTCGCCGGAATTGTTTGTATTGTTGGTATTTGAAGTTCCCAGTGGATACTACATCCTATGACAGAAAATTGTCTGTGCAGGTCCACGTCTTCGCATAGCCCCAAGATTTTATCATTTTTTTTTTTTTAAATTTCGCATTTAAATATTGTAATGGCTTATGACAAAAGCTGCCTATACAGGTCCACGTCGCCGTATAGACCCTAATATAACGTCTACATTCAGAATTTTTAACGGATTTTATTTATTTATTTATTTATTTATTTTTTTTTTTTTTTGAAAATTGTCAAATTAGTTCCAAATGGCGAAGGGTATTCAAAGATCGGCCCAGTCGAACTTACAGCTATTTTACTTGTTTATTTTTCTGTATTACAGCATAAGACCGGACCATTTCTCTCTGTGCAAAAATTCAACAAAACTGCAACAAAAAAAATTATGCGATTTCCTGTATAATTAATTAATTGGACTTTAAACGAAGATGAGGCTTGATAGAAAAATGCAAAATAAAAAACAAAAAAACCAAAACGAAATACTCCTAAAATATAAAACCTTGCATAAAACAAAATTTAGCACGCAATTCAAAATAACACAACTCATTTTTGTTGCATTATACCATCAGCCATACAAATTCGTATTAAATTGCAAAAAAAAAAAACACAGCATATTACCAAAAACAACAACTAGTGCTGCAAAATATAATTAAGCTTCTTCTTATATCCAGGTTTATGGCCGGCCAGCAAGACTTCCAACGAAAAGAAATGCCAAAAGAAAAAAAAGTGATGTTGTTTGTAATACAAATTGATTTACGAGATAGATTTTCCAAATAGATAAGATTTTAAAGTTCTCGAGAATGCAATGAACGATAGGAAATAAAAGTACAATTAGAAGATTGTTAAAAGTTTGCTAAGCATGAAATGCAAAAAAAACAAAACATTTAAAACAAGAAAATAAAAAGAAAAAGCCCCTTTTTAGAAGTCAACAAAATTGCATTTTTAGTCATTTAAAAAAAGTTCAATCAGTTCAATCACTCGGTTTTGACGACAGACAGCTTTGAGTTATGATTATTATAACTGTCGACTCTTTTATGGGGGAGGTTCGGAAGCAGGTTTGATATAAATATTACAACATGCCATATTTGGGCTTTGTGTAATTATACTTTATATTAGATATATAAAATTTTTTGGAACATGTGGAAATATGCGTGAGGTGCCAGATATGGAGGACCGAAGTATTCCACCTCATCTAATACAGATACGTTTCATCTAGATATTGGTATGTGCAAAATGTAAAGAAAATCGAATATTTACATCTAATTTTATACAAAATCATAAATTCCGATAATTCACATATTCATATCAGATTTATGATTAAGATATAAGTATTGAAAATTGTGTTCCTTTGTGAGTGAGGTACCACAAGGGGTTGGCAGATATCTAGTATCTTTATAGCAGATTTTGCGTTAGCAAAAAAGTTTGGATGTGTGAAATTTGAAAAGAGTTGGAAGTTTATTTCGTATTTTATTATCGTTTTGGTTATACAAAACTCTGACCCTTTGTGGAGGAGGTACCAGAAGGTATGGTCCGATCTCTACCATCTTTATAACAGATATTGTGGTGACGTAAAAATGGAGATGTGTCAAGACTGAATGGAACCGAAAGTTAATTTCGTGTTTTAGGAGCTTTATTGATAATCAAAATGTTGACCCTTTTATGGGAGAGATACCAGGAGGATTTTTTAACCGTTTAGGTTATATAAAACTCTGACCCTTTGTGGAGGAGGTCCCAGAAGGTATGGTTCGATCTCTAACATCTTTATCACAGATATTGTGGTGACGTAAATGTGGAGATGTGTCAAGACTGAATGGAGCCGAAAGTTCATTTCGCGTTTTAAGAGCTTCATGGATACTCAAAATGTTGACCCTTTTGTGGGGGAGATAGCAGAATGAGTGAACCGGTACATTCCATCTTCATAGCAGTCCTTGGGTTAATTAAAATATTGTAATGTGTGTCATTTGAAGAGAATCAGACTCGTACATCACATTTTATAAAAGTTCTAGTTATTCGAAATATCGACCCTTTGAGGGAAAGGTATTTGATGGAGTGGACCGCTATTGTCTATTTTCGCACCTGATATAGCACTGATACACATATTAGGATTTGCAAAGTTAGAGCAAAAGAGGATGATCCTTTCTTTGCGGTAAAATAATTTCTTTGAAAATGTTGATCTGTGGTACCAGGAAGAGTGGACCGATATTGCCAATTTCCGAACTCAATCTAAGTTTGACAGTAATATTACGATTTAACAAGTTTGGACCAAATCGGATACTCCCTTCGAGAGTTGTCGGCCCAGCAGCCAGACAGACAGAACGAACATCGTTAGATGGACTCCAAATGTACTGAAACGAACTTGGTCCAAAAAAATCTAGGGTCTAACAATGTTATTTCCATGAGGCATTATTTACACAACAGCTTCAAATTTTAGAATAAGTTTAGATTTGTTCGAATTGGTCACCTATGGTACAAATTATGGTCTTCAAGAGGCCAATTAAACCGTCACACGCTGCCCAAATGTTGTTCTGTGGTATTTTGGCCCATTCCCGGCGAAGCGCTTGCTTCGGACGACCGACACTTTGGTATTTTTTAGTGCCAACCTTGCTTTCCAAAATACTCCAGACACAATAGTCCAACGTATTGGTATCCGGAGATTTTGGTGACCATTGTGCACTGGAAATGAAGCGAGGAACCTCATTTTGTAAACATTCTTGGGTGGCGCGTGCTGAGTGCGATGGTGCTGAGTCCTATTGGAATCTCCAAGGACTGCGGCCAAAATGTTTGCGTGCACCTTCCTGAATATTTTAGCGATAATATTCGGAATTTATTCTGATGCCACAGTCTATTAATACGAGCGGAGAGCGACCATCGGCTGTTATGGCGGCCCACACCATCAGCATGGCCGGTGCTTGAGTTCTGGTGACCAACCGAAGGTGCACATTTTTAGCTAACCTCTTTGGCAAGTAAACACGATCATTTTGTTTGTTGCCAAACTGCTGGACAACGAATTTTTTTCTCATCGGAGAAAATCAACTTCGACAGTTCACCACTTTCGGCCAAGCGAAGCTACTCTTTAGCTCGTTTGAGTCTATTTTTTCTGTTGTGGTGTAAGTTCTTGCACTTTTTGAAATTTCAATGGCTTTACCCCGAGCTCATTTTTCAATATTTTTCGAATGGAATATTGCAATATGTTCACAAGCTCACGAGCCATTTTTCGGCCACTGCGACGCGGGATTATATCAAGTCGCTTCTTTACTTTTCGAACCATTTTACTTGACGTCGGTCTACGCTGTCAGTATCACTGTAATGCGCGATATTACGAGCACAAAAGATTTATTCACATTTAACTGCTGGAGGGCTCTAACTTGTGGTTTTCCAGTCAAATATAAAGAAATCACACTATCACGATTGAATTCCATCACGAATAACATTTTTTTCTGGAAAATTCTCACCAAAATGCTTTTGTACGCTTGTGAACAATATAATGAGCTGTCACTAGAATAATTTTAACAAGTGGTTGGGAAATGACAGCAGTCTGAAGTTTGTTGCAGTTTTTTCATCTCTACCTGTGTAGGTTTAGTGCTTTTCGTTCAATTATTGCACACATTTCTGAAACTACCTTAATATGTATGTCCCTATTACCAAATTTCAGATTTCAAGCGCTATATGTTCACCCACTACCTAATTTAGTACTATTTAGTACTTTTCGTTCACTTGTAGTACAAATTTCCATAAACACCTCTTAATCACAAAACAACCACCAACAGATGTCCCAATAGAAAATTTCAAAATTTCAGCTTCATCCGTTAACTTGGTTTATGGTTAACGGATGAAGCTGCAATCTGAAATTTGTAATAGGGACATATAAAGGTGTTCCAAATTAAGTACTATATAGTACTGTTCGCAAACGTAGTACAAATTTCCAAAACCCCTTCCGTATATCAAACTTAATTTCCAACCTTGATTCTGATACCAAATTTCAAGCTATTTTCTTTGTATCCGTTCACAAAGTGAATCATTTTAGAAGTTTAGTAATATTTTAGAACTTCTCAAACCCTTAAAGTTCGGATTTCCAAAAACCCTTTTGGTACATCAATTCTACACTTCATCAGTGATTCTCATTCTATATTTAAGAATTCCAGCTCATTTCGATTGTTCAATACAAAGTATTCAAGTTCGTATTTCCAAAAACCCAGCCTTATCACAAGGATATGATTGAAGACTGACAGTCGGCTGATGAGCCAAGAAGGCTTTATAAAGTTTCCTTCGCAATGGCATCGGTATATATAACATACCAAACTTACTTTCCCACCTCGATTCTTATACCAAATTTCAAGTTTTGACCTTTTAGAGGTTTCGTACAATTTTATAACTTTTCCTCATCATTAAGTTCAGATTTCCCAAAAAACCCTTTGGTATATTTATCCTGCACTCCATCAATGACTCCCATACCAAATTTCAATTCTAGCTCAGTCCGTTTGTCCACTTCCAAATATTCAATTTTCTGTACCTTTTAGTACTTTTCGCAAGCTTTAAGTGCGGATTTCAAAAAGTCCAAACTTATCACACGCCAAGGCACCACGACTGACCCTTGTACAATATTTTAAGATTCTACCTTCAGCCATTTCGTCAGCTATTTCACTACTCTTTTGTTCTTGTTTTGGTTTCATGGTTAAATTATAGACCAAACTAAAGATGTTTGACAGTGAAACAGAACACGAAACGTGGCAACCAGTGTTGCCAAAAAAAAATCGCTGGCAAATTTACCTATATATTTGTGTTGTGTGCAATTTTTGTAAAAAAATGTTATAACTTACCTTTTCCGGTATGCCACAGGATTCAGCTCTTCGGTTTTTGTTTTCAGTTTTTTTAACGGGTTTATCCTTGAAAATTGACCATTTTTTCCAAATATTATGCCGAAATTCTGAAGATTTACAGACAGTTTCAAGCAAAACAGATTGCAATTGTTTTAAGTAATTTTGTCCACAGATTTTGTATTGATTTTTCTTTTTTCGAAATGTATTTTTTCACAATTTTTTCTTTTTTTAATTTTAATTCACTTTATTTTTCAGTTATGTTTTTTGTTGTTCTTCCTTGTTGTTGATTGTTTTATGTGTGTTGGTGTGTTTGTGTGTGTGTTTTTTTTTTCGAAATAAACAATTGAATACTAACACTCAAAAAGTTCTCTTAATTGAAATCCAAAATTTTATAATTTTGTTTTGATTTTTGTTAAACTTAAAAACGATATATTTTTGTGTTTGATTTTGGTTTTTTGTTTTACTAGAGCTCTGTGAAAAAAGAAAACGTATCCGCGAAAGTTTGAAAATTTCCTATTTTTTTGAATTTGAATTTTGTTGTTGTTTTTGTTTTTTACTTTTTTGGTATATTTTTTTTTTTTTTTTGTTGTGGTTGTTGTTTTATGGGAGGGGGTGTTTTTTTTGGTTTCTTAAAAAAAAAACTAAATTAAAGAAATTGGTTTCCCTTGTGCATTGTTTGTTAAACTAAAAAGGTTGATGTACAGAACTCTAGTTTGGTTTTAGGCGTTTTTGCCTAAATTATTGCTGTTTTATTGAAACGATTCATAGAACAGTTCTAAGTTTTATGTTTTTTTTTCTTTATGTCAGTTAATGTTGAATATTTGCTGTTGTTGTTCCTTTGCGGTTGGGTAAAGTTTTTTTAATATTTAATTTTTTTTTTTAATTCTTTATTTTAGTTCCAAACGACAACGTTTTGTTTGTTGGGTTTTTTCCATATTACTATTATTATTTGTATTATTTATTAAAATAGGTCCATTCTTCCAAATGTTTTCCAAAATGCCTGAAAATAAATAAGAGAAAATATAAGTTTTAGTTTACTTGATTTTTGGTATTTGAATATTTATTATCATGTCTTTGTGCATCTGTTTGTAACAGGGAGAAGGAAGGGATATAGACCCATTGTCACTTCTGGGGATCTTCATAGAGTCACTTTCTAATAATCTCATAAATTTTATGTGTTGTTTTATTTTTTGTTTTTGAAGAACTTTCCTAAAGCTCGTAAAAAATCACATTTTATTTAAAAAACAAGTATAAAAGAAGCTAAGCTCGACCAGGTCGAACTTTTTGTACCCTCCACAATTTGGACAAAAATTGAAAGATTCCAAAAAAATCCGTCGGAATATACCGCTCAAATGAAAACCGTTATATGGTGGCTATACGAAGACGTGATCTTGCATAAGTAATTTGTGTCATAGGCTGTTCCGAACTTTATATACGACATTTGAAACAATTCCGGTGAATATCATGACAAAAATCATCAATTTTGGCCTAAAATTAATATACCCTCTATACTATGTACGGTGGATGTAAAATGTGATGTAAAAGTCCGATTATACTCAAATTTCACACATCCCAATAATTTTATTAACCCAAGGTCTGGTGTTAAGATGAGACACCCCCACCCCCTCCCAAAAAGGGTCGAAATTTTCAGAAAAAAAATCTATACAGAAAAAAAAGCAATAATCCAATTTTGAACCAACTTTGCAAATCTAATATTTGCGTCAGTGCTATTTCAAGTTCGAAAATTGACAATATCGGTCCACTCTATCAAGTACCTCCCCCAAAAGGGGCCAACATTTTCAATAATTACAACTCTAATAAAATGTGAGATAACATTCCGATTGCCTTCAAATTTTACATATCACAATATTTTGATTAACACCCGGTCTGGTATGAAGATGGAATATATCAGTCTACTCCCTCTGGGCAAATTTTTGAATATCCATGAAGCTCATAATACGTGGAATTAACATTCGATTTCATTCAGACTTGCCACATCTCAATATTTTTATCAAGAAAAGAACTGTTATAAGAATTATAGAGATCGGACCATTTCTTTTGGTACCTCCCCCACAAAAGGTTCAACATTTTGAAAAACAAAACGCTCAAAGAAAACGAAAAAAGCATCCGACTCTCTTCAAATATCATCTACAGACCAACATTTTTGCTAGCACAAGATTCGTTGTGAAGATCATGTATATCTGCGAATCCCATCTGGTACCTCAACCTTTTAACATTTCCTTAAAATTATCACATATCTCATATGAGGTGAGGGTAGTAGCCAATATAGTCTCAATCTGGCACTTCTCAATATTTATATCATATTTATTTACATCCAATACGATATGGACAATATTGGTCGATTCATTCGGAACATACTCCATAGAGGTTCAACAATTTGAATAATCGTAACTGAAGTCAAAATATATTTAAATAATCGAACATTGGCAGAGGGTATGTATATGTTCTTGATCAGCATACAATTCTAGACCGTCTGTCCGGCTGCCCGTCCGAACGAAATGAATCAGGTTGATAAAATTTTACTCAAATGTATATTATGTCTGCACAACTTTTGGTATTGAAAATGGACCATGTAGGTCCACGTCTTCGTATAGCTATCATATAACGGTACCTCCTGATATTCGGTATTTTGATGACTTTAGCGACATTATTCATCGGAATTGTTTCAAATTAGGTATTTGAAGTTCGTAATAGATACTATAGTCTAAGACGGAAAATTGTATGTTCAGTTCTACGTTTTCATATAGCCCCCATATAACGGTACCTCCCCATATTCGGTAATTTTGTGATTTTAGCTACATTATTCACTGGAATTATTTCAAATATGGTATTTAAAGTTCGCACCCAATGGTACCTCCTGCATTATTCACATCGTCGTATAGAGCCTAATATTACGGCTACATTCGGTATTTTTAAGATTTTAATGGATTTTTTTTTTTTTTTTTTTTTTTTTTTGAAAAATGCCAAATTCGTTCCAAATGGTCGAGGTTATTCCATGTTCGGCCCGGCCGAACTTTCAGCTTATTTACTTGTTATTTTATCAAAACACAGAAATATATTACCATCTATTGGTATTGATCCTGTAAGCGTATCTTTGAATTTAAGAAACTGCGAACTTAACTTCTCAAATTCTGTTATAAATTTTCATAAAAAATAATTTTTCTCATAGAACAAGAAAAATAATCGCCCAAATTCGTGCAAACTTTTCAAATCCTAATATTTTTATCAATGCTATATCAGGTGCGAAAATGGACAACTTCGACCCCCTCCATCATGTAACTCCCTCATAAAAGATCAAAATGTTGAATGATTATTATAATATCGTATAAAATGTGAAATAAGAGTGGAATTGTCATGAAATTTCGCTAATCGCAATATTTTCACCAGCACAAAATTTTAATGACTTGCCCATAAAAGGGATCAAAATTTGGAATAACAAAAAATTCATTAAATGTGGAATACATATCCGGTTTTCAATTTTCGCACATCCCAATATTTTTACTGACACAAAATCTGGTGTGAAGATGATAGATATCGGCCCACCACATCTGGCATACCCCCCGCCAACAAGAGGTCACAATTTTGAATGTTCTCATAACCAATCACTCATAACTTTCGAAACAGGTCAGTGGCTCTTTTCAAACTTTTTTGTCTAAATATTTCTCTTAAACAGAGAGTTGATGGGAATATGGCATTTGCGAGTGTAGGTCCACTTTTTCTGGTACACATCTCCCCAATTGCTTAACATTTTTATTAGCAATTATTCGCATAAAAAATGCATTTAAATTTGTAATTTTGTTTAAATTTCGCACATCACAATATTTTTAGCGGCATTAGATGAAGTGGAACACTTCGGTCATCCAAAAACTGGTACCTCACTCCTATTTCAACACTTTCCAAAAAAGTGATGGAAGTAGTCGATATTTTCCAAATGTGGCACATTATAGGTCCACTCCTTCGGAACTCGCGCAATAAAGTCAAAACTTATTTAAATAAAAAAAATAAAGGGCATACATCTATCGGCAAAGCCGATTGATGCTTTTTAACTTATTTTACATCAAAATTGGCCTTCTGTTTGACCCGTTCATAGGCCTCGATTTTGAAACAAAAAACAATCAAATCTTTTCGTACATTTTTTTTTTCAAAAACAAAAAATTTTGTAACGTTAACTGATATTTCCTGCCCGCAGGGTCTAGATTTTTTGTTTTTGCAAAATTTTAAATGAAAAAATATTTTCCATGTAAAATTTTCCATTTTTTAACACTTGTTTCCCCCACCGCAGAAACTTTTTTCGTTTGAAAATTGCCGTTAATTCCAAAAAAAAAAAAAAAAATAATGATTTCTTTTTTTTTTTTTTTTTGATTTTTTCCTTTTTTTTTTTTGTATTCCAAAAAATATTTATTTATTTATTTTTTTTTTTTTTTGTATTTTTCTAATTCAATTTCAGGATCTCAATTAAGTTTTTTCTTTACATCGAAATTGGTAGCTAAGTTGGGTTTTCTGTGTGAAAGCAAATCCTTTCGTGCGCCCACACACACACTACTTTTCGTTTGAAAACTGCGGTTTTTTTTTCAAAATCCAATATTTTGTTACAAACACTGATAATTCCTGCCAACAGGGTCTGGATTCTTGCTTTTGAAAAATTCTTAATGAAAAGTAATTTCCATATAACATTTGGAATTTTTCAACGTTTGTTTCCCCGACTACACAAAGTTTTTCTTCCTAGATTGAAAATTGTCGTTTATTCAAAAAATAAAATAAAAAAGGAAATATTGATATTTTGAAGATTTCAGGTCACACAGAAGGCGAATTAGGCAAAAATCAATATCAACAATTTTTAAGTCACTTCAAATGAAATATATCACCAATTCCAATTAAATTTATTAAATGGACAAAAATCACTTCATTTCTTTTCAAAAATTTTTTGATATCAAACAAATTTTTGAATTTTTTCAATTTTTTAATTCAATTTCAAGATTTCAATCACAATTAAGGGTGTACCAGATGAGGTGGGCCGATATCTGTCACCTTCACACCAGATTTTGTGTTAATAAAAATATGATGATGTGTGAAATTTGAAAACAATCGGAAATGTATTTCGCATTTTATGACATTTTTATTATTTCAAATTTTGATCACTTTTAAAAAAATCTTGTGCTGGTAAAAATATTGCGATTTGCCAAATTTGAAGACAATTCGACCCTTATTTCACATTTTATACGATTAATAATCATTTAACATTTTGAACTTTTGTGGGGGTGGTACATGATGAAGTGGGGCGATATTGTCCACTTTTGCACCTGACCTAGCACTGATAAAACTATTCGGATTTGAAAAGTTTGCACGAAATTGGGCAATTATAATTTTTTTGTTCTATGAGGCAATTTATTTTCTATGCAAATTTTTAACGAAATTCGAGAACTTAAGTTCGCAGTTTCTAAACTTCACAGATATGGTTACAGCGTCAATACCAATATATGGTAAAAAAAATTTAATTTTAAAAACCTACTTTATTTCGTTCGAAAGCTAGAGTGATTTCCACAGACGGATAGGCGGACGGACATCGCTAAATCATCATAGAATTTTATGCTGTTGATGGTGGGGTCTAACATCTATATTTCGAGGTATTTCAAACGGAATGACAATCTTAATATACCCTCCATACTAAGTGGAGGGTATAAAAAAGGAAAAGAAATTTTTGTTTTTGATGTAAAAAAAATTTAGAATTTTTTCAATTTTAGATCTTAACAACAAGAATTTTTTTGTTTATTTTTTTATACGGAAAAATCTTGGATTTTTTAAGGCGCTTTGCTTTCCTTCTACAAAAAAAAACGCAGAAAACATTACAAGCTATTTTATTTTGTCAAAATTCGACCACTAGAATCAAAATATTTTTTTAGAAAAAATTCTTCATTTGCTAAAAGTCTACACTTCGTTATTGATCACTATCCTAGAAAAATAAATTTTTCATAATGTATTAATTATTTTTATTATTATTTATTAATATATTTTTTATTCGCAAATAACAATTTTATTTGCCGTGCTGGACAGGTGTTTTTCCCTTTAAAACAGAGAAAAACTGACACACGTAGGGTGTGTGTTTCTGTGTGTGACAAGGCTCTAGGTCCAGGAATTTGAAACCCACCTTGTTTTTTAAAATCCACTTTTTTAATCTGTTTGTTGTTGTTGCAGATAAATTTCAAAAACCATATTTAATTGACTTTTGTTACTTTTCACAATTTTTGCTTTAGTTAGAAATTTTCACAGAAATTCTGCGGTTTTTTTGTTGTTGCATTGCCAATTATATAATAATTTGTTTAATTTTTTTTTTTGTTTTTGTATTAAAAATGTATTTGTTTAATTGTAATTTTTTTTATTTAAATTTTTTAGCTATGCACGGCTTGTGTTGGTTTTTCTTTTCTTGTTATTTTTTTTTTTTGGTTACTTCAGATGCAGGTAATCCGGAAACTGTAATCCGAGAGTTGCAGTTGGTTATTTATTTTTTTTTTAATTTGTGATTGGAGAATAAAAATTGAAATCGTAATTATCCTTTAAACGCGCGCGTATAAGATTTGTTGTCATATTCCTTTCGCGGATTTTTGCTTTCCTTTTTCTTCGATAGAAATTCTTGCTTCCTTGTTTGTTAATTTTTTATTATTTGTAGTTTTTGTTGTTTCTTTTTTTTGTATGGATTTTGTGTTTTTTGTTGTATTGCTGGCTGATGTTCTGAAGAATAAAACACAAAACAGAAGAAAACAAATGTTACAAAAAATTTTGGTAATTTCTGATTTTTGTTGTTGTTTGGTTTTTTGGTTTTCGGCCGGTGCAAGCGTAACAAACGAACGTATGAAAGTATCTGCAAGAACTGCAGCCTTAACGCAACTTCAATCTCTGTGAAGGTCCCCAACTTAACATCGCCATCGTCGTCGCACTGGAAGCCGGCGTCGTCATTGTTCATGCCACTGCGTTTGTGTAGTCCATGTAATTGTTGCCACACACTGCAAAACGGCTGTTGTTGCAAATAACAGCAGCACCAGCAGCAGCAGCAGAAGCATAAAAGCGCAGCTCAAACACAGCAACAACAAGAAAAAGTCTGTCTGCAAAAAGCAGCCTCAACGCAAAACCATGCACCAATGCCGCCACCACACACACAATCCAGCGACAAGGTACTGTAACAGTGATGAGGAGGCCTTAACAGACCCACGAATGCATAACGCACACAACATTGGGCCAGATGATGGGGGTAGAGCCAAGAAAAAAGCCAAACAAAAAATAAAGAGAAAATTCCTTTGGCCAAGATATTCAGACTCAAAATTGCAGGAATTTAGCTCTTAAGTTTTTTGCAAAGAGAAACACAAACTCTTTTGATTTCTGCAAACTGTTGTGGGAACAGTTTTCTGGTTTCTCTTAACAAAAACAACAATGCCTATTCAAGAGAACAAAACAAATGGAAAGGACAAAATTCTCCCTAATTTAAAAGAGTTTCTTGTTTATTATTAACGCAGCACACAACAGGATTATCGTCATGACAGTGTGTGGGTGGGAGAGCAGGGAGAGTGTGGACATCACATCACACCAAACACTCGACGTGCATGCATGCTTCATTTGAAGTGGGTGGCTTTGGCCTTTAACGATGCATTATTTTGATTATGTTGGGTACACAAAGAAGCAACGTGGGAGGAGGGGGAGTTGGGTTGCACACAAACGCACGCACACACACACACAAAAGTTTGTCATTGTGTATTGTGCGTATGTCTGACTCTGTGGGCTAACATTATGGGAATTTTCCAATCAGATACCTATAGGAGGCATTGTATGTAGTTCAGGATACCGTTTTATCTTAAGACAGGTTCGAAAGTATGAGTTGGCTTTCCGACAGACCCCCTTACCTAAGAATTTGCTCATATATATATATACTGTTAGCAAAACCCATGATTAGTATATAAACACATGAAGAAGCAACTAAATTCGACCGGGCCGAGCTTCTAATACCCTCCATCATTTTGAAGGAACTTAAAAAATTTCCAAAAAAATCGTCGAAAATACCGCTCAAAAGAAACCCGTTTTTAGGGGCTTTTGCGAAGACGTGGTCCTGCATAAGTAATTTTTGTCATAGGCTGTAGTTTCCTTTAACTTCAAATACCAAACAATTCCTGTGAACAATGTCCCTATAACTATCAAAATACTGAATATCGAGAGATATCATTATATGGGGACTATACGAAGTCGAGAACCTGCATACGCAATCCTTTGTCATTGGATGTTGTGCCCATTACGAACTTTCAAACTATTCACTTAAAAATGTCGTTAAAAACCATCAAAATGCCGAATATGGGGGGCGTGGTTTGGGGGCTATACGATGTTGGATCCTATATAGACAATTCTCTTCCAGGGGGTGAAGTACTCAAAATAAGCTCCTTGTGTGCATTTTCAGAAAATTCCATTGAAAAAAAAAATTGGCTAAAATCAACAAAATATCGAATATCGGGACGTACCGTTATATGGGGGATATACGATATCGTGGACCGATATAGCCCATCTTCGAACTTGACCTGCTTGATCGGACAAGAGACTGATCTGTTGCGAAATTTTAGCTTCCTATGTTCATTCGTTTTGACCCTGGTATGCTTACAACAGATGGACGGAAGGACGGACAGGGCTAAATCGTCTTAGAATTTTGCGCTGATCAAGAATATAGGGTGAGATAAAAAAACTGCAACAAAGTCAAACGCCATAATTTATATATATATATATATATATATATATATATATATATATATATATATATATATATATATATATATATATATATATATATTTTTTTTTTTTTTTTAAATTTTATTAAATAAAAGCAAAAAATATCGGAAATAGCATGGAATTTTAGAATACGTTTAGATTTGTTCGAATTGATCACCTTTGTCCCGAATAATGGCCTTCAAACGGCTAATAAAATCGTCACATGTTGCTCTGCCGTATTTTGGCCCAATCCCGGCGAAGCGTTGCTTGAGATGATCAACACTTTGTTTTTTTTTTTGTGCCAACCTTGCTTTCCAAACTTCTCTAGACACGATAGTCCAACGGATTGGTATCCGGATATTTTGGTGGCCGTTGTGCGCTGGAAATGAAGCGAGGAACCTCATTCTGTAACCATTCTTGGGTGGCGCGTACTGAGTGCGATGGTGCTGAGTCCTGTTGGAATGTCCAAGGTCTGCGCCAAAACCTTTGAGTGCCCAAGGCTTTAATACACCCTCCAGAATATTTTCGCGATAATATTCGGCATTTATCCTGATGTCATGGTCGATTAATTCGAGCGGAGAGCGACCATCGGCTATTATGGCGGCCCACACCACCACCATGGTCGGCGCTTAAGTTCTGGTGGTCAACCGAAGGTGCACATTTTCAGCTGACCTCTTTGGCAAGTAAACACGATCATTTTGTTTTCTCATCGGAGAAAACCAAATTCGCCGGTTCACCACTTTCGGCCAAGCGAAGCAACTCTTTAGCTCTTTTCAGTCTATTTTCTTTCTGTTGCAGTGTAAGTTCTTGCACTTTTTGGAATTTCTATGGCTTTACTCCGAGCTCAGTTTTCAATATTTGCAGTTTTCAATATTTGCGATATGTTCAGCTCACGAGCCAGTTTTCGGCCACCGCGACGCGGATTTCGATCAAGTCGCTTCTTTACTTTTCGAACCATTTCTGCTGATGTTGCTGTTTTCTTCCGCCCACTTCCTTGACGTCGTGCTACGCTACCAGTATGACGGTAAAAAGTGCTCTAACGATAGCCACTTGTGGGTTTCCAACCAAATATAAAGAAATCACAGAAGGAGTGCACCGATATATTCCGCCTTCACACCCTGCCTTGCGTTAATAAAAATATAGTGATGTGTGTAACTCAAAGACAATCGACCTCTTACATCACATTTTTTAAGACCTACAATTATTCCAAATGTTGACCCATTGTGAGCGAGGTACCACAACGAGCAGACCGATCTTTACACCAGATATTGTGTTGGTAGCAATAATGAGATTTATGAAATATGAAGCGAACCGGATGCTTGTTTCGAATTTTGTAATCGTTCTGGTAATAAAAATATTTGACCCTTTGTGGGGGACGTATCAGAAAGAGTGGACCAATAAATTCCATCTTTAAACTAAACCTTGTGCTTATAAAATATGTTATGTCATGCAAGTTTCAGCAAAATAAAGGACATCACCTCGCAGAAGCATCAATCAGTCACAGCTACGTTACGATTCGCAGCATCTATGAAGAAGTACGGTCCATATAAAATGCACCAAACTGCGACTTTTTATACCCTTCACCATACATAGTATAGAGGGTATACTAAGTTCGTCAATTCGTTTGTAACTCTTCGAACGTAACAAAGTATATATATTCTTGATCAGCGTAAAATTCTAAGGCGATTTAACCCTGTCCGCCGTTCTGTCCGTCTTCTGTAATCACGCTAGAGTCAGAACGAATTAAGATAGGAAGCTAAAATTTTACACAGATCAGTCATTTGCCTGCAGACAGGTAAAGTTTAAGCTGGGCTATACAATATAGTATAGCCCCCATATAACAGTACACCCCGATATTCGGTATTTTGATGATTTAAGTGAAACTTTTCAATGTAATTGTCTGAAAATCCACAAAGGAGTTCCTTGTGAGTACATTATCTCCTAAAATAGAATTGTCTATACATAGGGCGAGATGAAAAAACTGCAACCAACTTCAGACTGCTGTCATTTCTAAGCCACTCGTCCGACAGCTGTTAAAATTATTCTAGTGACAGCTCATTATATTGTTTGCAAGCGTACCAAAGCATTTTGATGAGAAATTTCCAGAAAAAAAGTTATTCGTGATGGAATTCAAGCGTGATAGTGTGATTTCTTAATATTTGGCTGGAAAACCACAAGTGGCTATGGTTAGAGCGAGCACTCCGGCATTTAAATCTAAATTAATCGTTTGTGTCTCGTACCATCGCTTGTTATCGTGATATTGGTAGCGTAGCCCGACGTCAAGGAAGTGGACGGAAGAAAACAGCTACATCAGCAGAAATGGTTCGAAAAGTAAAGAAGCGACTTGATCGAAACCCGCGTCGCAGTGTCCGCAAATTGGCTCGTAAGCTGAACATATCGCTATTCCATTCGGCAAATATTGAACAATGAGCTCGGCATAAAGCCATTGAAATTCCGAAAAGGGCAAGAACTTACACCACAACAAAACGAAAATAGACTCAAAAGAGCTAAAGAGTTGCTTCGCATGGCCGAAAGTGGTGAACTGCCGAATTTGGTTTTCTCCGATGAGAAAACATTCGTTGTCCAGCGGTTTGTAAACAAACAAAATGATCGTGTTTACTTGCCAAAGAAGTTAGGTGAATATGTGCACCTTCGATTGGCCAACAGAGCTCAAGCGCAGAGCATGGTGTTGGTGTGGTCCGCCATAACAGCCGATGATCGCTCTCCGCTCGTATTAATCGACGTCAGAATAAATGCCGTATGTTATCGCGAAAATATTTTGGAGGGTGTATTAAAGCCTTGGTGTATGCAAACATTTTGGCCGCAGGCCTTGGACATTCCAACATCGCACTCAACACACGCCACCCAAGAATGGTTACAAAATGAGGTTTATCGCTTCATTTCCAGCGCACAATGGTCACCAAAATCTCCGGATACCAATCCGTTGGAATATTGTGTCTGGACTATTTTGGAAAGAAAGATTGGTACTTAAAAATACTAAAGTGTCGATCACCTCAAGCAAGCGTTTCACCGGGCATGGGCCAATATACCGCAGAGCAGCGTGTGACGGTTTCATTGGCCATTTGAAGGCCGTAATTCGTGCCAAAGGTGACCAATTCGAACAAATCTAATCTTATTCTAAAATGTGAAGCTATTTCCGACATATTTTCATTCATTCAATAAAATTATAAAATAAGTGTAAAAATTGCGGCCTTTGACTTTGATGCAGTTTTTTTATCATGCCACGGTCCACGATATCGTATGCTCCCCGATATTCGGTATTTTGATGATTTTAGTCATATTTTTCAATGGAATTGTCTGAAAATTCACACAAGGAGTTCCCTTTGAGTACTGTATCCCCTGGAAACGAATTATCTTATTCGGTCCCCCATTTCGTATATTCGGCATTTTGATTAAATTCTACACAAGAAATTGTTTATGAGTAATTTAGCCCCTGAAAGATAATTGTCTACATAGATCCACTATATAGCATATCTCCCATATAACGGTACCCCATTGTGAGTACTTTATCCCCTAGAAGAGAATTGTCTACATAGGTCCACGATATCATATATCCCCTTATAACGGAACCCCCCCCCATTACTCTATTTTTTGATGATTTTTTCGATATTAGTCACCGCAATTGTTCCAAATTTCGTACATATGATTCGGAGCAGTTACTACTGCCTATAATACAAATTACTTATCAGGTCTTTGTATAGTCCCTATATAACGGTTTTCATTCGAGCGGTATTTTCCGACGGATTTCTTTTTTTTTTTTTTTGAAATTTTTTAAGTTTCTTCCAAATGGTGGAGGTTATAAAAAGTTCCGAAGCCGAACTTAGCTGCTTTTTTACTTGCTATTAACACAACTGTCACACAAGTGACCAAATTTTAAATAGCCATTAATCTCGTAACGTAAAACGCGAAATAAGCATCCGATTCCTCTCAAACTCCCCAAGTCAGAGATTCTCTCATATATATACACTCTTTTGACAAAGTTATATACTCTCCACAGTATGGCGAAGGGTATAAACAGCATCGATATATAACGCAGCAGATGTTCCTATTACGTCAAAAATCTAATTCCCTTTTTTCGGAACAGAACAGAAATTTCACTTTCAAAATGTTTGTTCCATATCGAACATTTTATTTCCATTTCCTTCCTGAAGTAATGTTACATAGATCTGTAAAGTTAATATCTTGACATTTGACTGAAACTACGAGATCATGTGGCATTTGACCCATGGTAATCGGTATTCAAAACAATACTTGGATATTTTGATTTCTCTATATGACAAATTAATAATCCATTTCAGCAGCTAAATATTATCCGATGACAATCCATAATAATAGGCTTAAACGCCGTCCTAAACTCTAACCTCACAAAAAATTTCATATCTATTTGTTCTTTGTTAAGAGCTGTAGAGCGACTGAAAATTTAGACAATTTTAAGGTTTTTTGTCCATTTTAAACCATAAATATTTTGAAATCATCTCCAAAAACAATAGGCTTCTATCCCTAACCCTATCCCCATGCAAAATTTCGTGAAAATCGGCCAGTGTAATTTTGAACTGATTATAATACCCCAAAAAAGTAGGGCTGTAAGGTAAAAAAGTGCCCAATTCAATATTGGTCTACAAGTTTTGGATTGTTTTTTTTTTTTTTTTTTTTTTTTTTGAAAACGTAAAGAAATCGGATTTTAATAAAATCTCAAAAAAAAAAAATAATTTTAATTTCTACATTTTAATCTTTTTTGTCAAAGGACATTCGGAATTGGTGAGAATTGTCTAAATCCGCCCAGCCATTCTTGAGTTATACGCTGTCTAACTAACACACCCTTTTTATACCCTGGAGGTATATATTATGGAGGGTATATTAAGTTTGTCATTCCGTTTGTAACACCTCGAAATATACATTTTGGACCCCACAAAGTCGATTTAGCGATGTCCGTCCGTCTGTCCGTTTATCCGTCTTTCGGTCTATCTGTCTGTCCGTCAGTGGAAATCACCCTAGCTTCCGAACGAAATGACTAACACACCCTTTTTATACCCTGGGGATATATATTATGGAGGGTATATTAAGTTTGTCATTCCGTTTGTAACACCTCGAAATATACATTTTGGACCCTACAAAGTCGATTTAGCGATGTCTGTCCGTTTATCCGTCTTTCGGTCTGTCCGTCAGTGGATATCACCCTAGCTTCCGAACGAAATGAGGCAGGTTATAAAATAAAATTTTACTCAAATACTGTCTGTCTGCAGGACTTTTGGTATTGAAAATGGGTCATGTAGGCCACGTTTTGGTATAGCCCCCATGTAATGGTACCTCCCTATTTTCGGTATTTTGATTATTTAAGCGACATTATTCACTGGAAATGTTTCAAATTCGGTATTTGAAGATTACAGTGGATACTACACCCTAAGACAGAAAATTGTGTCTGCAGGTCTATATAACGGTACCTTCCGACATTCGGTATTTTCATGATTTTAGCGACATTATTCACCAGAAATGTTTAAAATTTGGTATTTGAAGTTCGTAGTGAATACTACAGCCTATGACAGAAAATTTTCTCCGCAGGTCCACGTCTTCTTCTTATGACAAACATTAATCACGTGCACTTTTTGGTATAGGCACGGTACATCCCTATATTCGGTATTTTGATGATTTTAGCTATATTATTCAGCGATTTTTTTTTCAAGTTTCGCATTTGAATATTGTAATGACTTATGACAAAAGTTGCCTATGCAGGTGCACGTCGTCGTATAGACCCTAATATAACGGTTGCATTCGGTAGTTTTAAGATTTTAACAGAATTTTATACGTTTTTTTTTTTGTTTTGGAAATTGCCAAATTTGTGCCGATTTGTGGAAGGTATTCAAAGTTCGGCCCGGCTGAACTTACAGCTTTTTTACTAGCTTTTTTAACTAATCCCAGCTCCATGGGAAATTTCGTGTGGATCGAGTAGCGTGATTACAATTTGACATGGAGAGACGGACACACAAAGCTAGATCGACTCAGCTGGACGAGCTAGGAAGATCCATATATAACTTCCTATGTATTTGACCATTATTTCGAGGCATCACAAACTTTTTGGTTCAATCAAACTTTTAATACTCCCATCACATAGTATTGTAGTATATAAATACACTCACACACACTTCAATAAATTTTTTGGAGATAGGACTCCTAATAACTTAATTTCCCTCTCAGTTGTAAAGTTTCTCATTTATGATTTTTCTCATTCAAAACTTTTCAATGGAATATTGTTTTCGATTTTTTTGTTTCCATGTGGCACACTTCGGATAGTTTGGAAAGACAAATTTGCGAGCAAAGATTTTTTAAGTGGAATATTATTTTTGTTTTTTTTTTTTTTCTTCGAAGAGAAATATTGTATATAGAATATTATATGGCCCAAATTTCCAATAACGTCAATATAGTTTCAGATTAGTTTGCTTTCAAAACAAAATTCATTTCGAACTTATTTAAAATTCTTCAATGCAATTTCCAGCTTCTTTGTATACCCTCCACCATTCTATGTAGGGTATATTAACTTTGTCATGCCGCTTGTAACTCCTCGAATTATTTATAATAGACCCTACAAAGTATATATATTCTGGATCAGTGTAAAATTCAAAAACGATCTAGCGATGTCCGTCTGTCTGTCTGTCTGTCTGTTGTAATCACGCTACCTTTCGAACGAATTGAGATAGAAGGCTAACATTTTGCATATATGCATAGTTTACCAGTAGGCAGGTTTAGTTCGTAAATGGGCTATGTCGGTCCACGTTTTCGTATAGCCCAGTATATAACGGTACATCCCGATATTCGGTATTTTCATGATTTTAGCGACAGTATTTACCGGAATTATTTTAAAGTTCATAATTAAAGTTCGTAATGGGTAAATTTTTTCAAATTTGGTATTCGTAATGGGAGCTGCAGCCTATGACAAAAATTTTTGCATGCAGGTCCACGTTTTCGTATAGCCCCCATATGACGGTACCTCCCAATACTCGGTATTTTTATGATTTGTAACAAATTTTGTATTAAAAGTTCGTATTGGGTACTACAGCCTATGACAAAAAAAAAATCCTATGAAGGTTCACGTTTTCGTATATATCCCATATAACGGTACGTCCCAATATTCGGTATTTTCATGATTTTAGCGACATTATTCGCCGGAATTGTTTCAAATTTGGTATTTGAAGTTCGTAATGGGTACTACAGCCTATGACAAAAAATTTCGTAAGCAGGCGCACGTCTTTGTATAATCTCCATATAACAGTTTTCATTTAAGTTGTAGTTTCCGGAAGTTTTTTTGAAATTTTTCAAGTTCCTTCCAAATGGTGGAGGGTATTAAAAATTCGGCCCGGCCGAACTTAGCTGCTTTTTTAATGGTGTTTTTTTTTTTTTTTTTTTTTTTTTTTTTTTTTGAAGAAAAAATTTAGAACTGGCACTAATTTAAATTCAGATTACCATGTTTTCAAAATAAAATTAATTTCGAAGTCCTTTAAAATTCTTCAATAGAATATTATTTTGGAGTTTTTTTTTTTCAAAGTTTTTGAAGTTTTTTTTTTCAATATCGTAAATATTAGATATTTGAACTTTCACTAACTTCAATTCAGTTTCAGATAAATATTTTCAAAAAAAAAAAATCATTTCGGACTCATTTAAGATTTTTTCCAGATCAGTTTTAAATATATAATATTCCTTGTTTTTTTTTTTCATGATAAATATTCCCAAAAACATGTGACACACTTCAGCTAGTTTTGAAATTCTTAGCATAAAAGAGAAATTCCCATGCTTCACATTTCCACGTTTTGTGGGGTAACACTTATGTACATATGTATGTAGGTATGTGTTGTAGAAGATTAAAATAATTTTACCTCTATTATTTCTATTTTTTATGCATTTAATTTCAGAATCTTTTTGGATTATTGATATTATTGGCATACAGAGACCATTTGTTCTTTGGATGTTATTATTACACAGAAAAAGGTTTTTTTTTTTCAATTATTTCCACAATTTTAGATAATTTGCGTTCAGTATTATTTTTGTTAAATTTTAATTTTTTTGGAAACAATTTTTTTATTTATTTTTTTTTTAAATTTTTTTTTAATTTGTTATGGGTACTTGCTATTTATTGTTAGCAATATTTTCTTTTTTCAAAATTTGCAAATTATTTATTTTCTTTGTTTTTTTTTTAATTTATTTTCTTTGTTTTCTCTATTTTCTTCACGTATTGAAATCAAAACATCATATTTTTTGTATTTTTTTTTTTATTTTGATTTTCAAAATTTTCACACGCTCAAAACTTTTCCCCGAAAAGTAAGCAAGTGGTAGTGGGTAATATTTCGAAAATAATTTTCGCGTTTCTGTTTCAGCGATTTTAGTGGTTGACGTTTTAGTGCCGCCGTTTGTTATTCCGATTACATGCAATACGTCTACGTGCGTCTACGTGTGGCACTGTTATGTTCATTCAGATGTTGCTGCTGTCTCTTCGTTGCTGGTGCTGTTGCTGGTGCGGCTGCTGTTGTTGTTACACACAGAGTATTGTTGCAGAATGAGTTTGGCGTAAATTAATAACAACACGAAAAATAAAAAAAATAAAAATACAAACGTATAAATGTAGTTGGTGTTGCTGTTGTTTTGGTGGGAGCAGGGACAGTAAAATAATAAACATACGACACGACGTTAAGACAAGAACAACAAAACAGCAACAACATTAATGCAAATTGCACACGGACACTCATGGACTGCAGAAACACACACACACACATTGGCTCACTCACTCAGCCACATGCAACCAACGTAAGCCACACCACACATTGCACACACACACACGCTTGAATTCTCATTGTTCATCGTTCGTATCAAATGTGTTGCACGAGAGCTTTCTACTACGATTGTCTTTGCCCACATAACTTGCTTGCTTGCCTGCCACACGTTCTACTATCGCATTCTCCTCAATCTCCCTCCCACACCCCCACCCCCCAATGAAAACAATCAAGTACACACATGCACTCGACACGATAACCACCCGAGAGAACCAACACACACCATCTACTGAGTTACAACACGGACCAAATTCTGTGAGCCGGAGAGAGAGAGAGAGTGAGAGCGCGTGAGTGTTTGTGGTGGAGTAAGGTGGATTGTTGTTGGGTGACATTGGATGCTTAGCATGTTTCATAAAACTACGTTAAATCAGTCTTTTTCGTTGTGTTATTGTTGTTGTTGTTTTATTCGCACACTTACACACGGACAGACTTCATTCATGAATAAAAAGGAACTTTTTCACTGTTGGTTGGTTGTTGTTGTTGTTGCTATTTTACGTTATGTCTCACTTACAAAGGATCGCGCGCTAGTCGTATCTCTTTAAGAATTGTTTTCCTTGTTGCAAAATATTGGCGCGAAAAATGTTTTCTTAAATTTCTTGATGACTTACTTTGAGATGCTGCTGCTGCTGCCACACTGTGTGAAATTCTTGAACAAACTTCTCAGACAGAACATGCACAGACACACACACACATCCACAAAGAAGTCGTCTAACTAACAACCGACTAACTGTGTGCGAGGTAGGTCAGTTAGACAGGAATTGCATACATACATGCAAACAAACTTATAGAAAAGGGCAATTGTTGTCACAACAATTTTCAAGAAGTTTTATTCAAATTTATGTCAGGTTTAAATTCAATTTTAATATAAACAAGTTAAACAGCATCAGACGATTATGCCGACAGATGTATATCGCCAGCCTTGATTTGTGATTGTTGATCCTTTATGGGGGAGCTTCTGAAGCAGTTGGCTAATATTGTCCAATTCGTATCTGACCTATCTGATATAAATATTACAACGGGCCATATCGTCTACTTTCTATACTTCATATGAGATATATGCAAATTTTTGGAAAATGTGGAATAATGCGTGATGTAACAGGTATAGCGGACCGAATTTTTCCACTTAATCTAAAATAGATAAAAATATTGAAAAATCTGCAAAATTTAAAGGAAATTGAACATTTTTATCCAATTTGATACGAAATCATGGGTGAGATGAAAACACTGCAACCAACTTGCCGAAAAATGGCTCGTGAGCTGAACATATCGCAATATTCCATTCGGCAAATATTGAAAAAATAGCTCGGGGTAAAGCCATTGAAATTCCAAAAAGTGCAAGAACTTACACCGCAACAGAAGAAAATAGATTCAAAAAAGCTAACGAGTTGCTTCGCTTGGCTGAAAGTGGTGAACTGCCGAATTCGGTTTTCTCCGATGAGAAAACATTCGTTGTCCAGCAGTTTGTAAACAAACAAAATGATCGTGTTTACTGGCCAAAGAGGTCAGCTGAAAATGTGCACCTTCGGTTGACCACCAGAACTCAAGCGCCGGCCATGGTGATGGTGTGGATCGCCGATGGTCGCTGACCGCCCGTATTAATCGACCGTAGCATCAGAATAAATGTCGAATATTATCGCAAAAATATTCTGGAGGGTGTATTAAAGCCTTGGGCACGCAAACATTTTGGCCTCAGTCCTTCGACATTCCAACAGGACTCATGGCACTCAGCACGCACCACCCAAGAATGGTTACAAAATTAGGTTCCTCTCTTAATTTCCAGCGCACAATGGTCACCAAAATCGTCCAATACCAATCCGTTGGATTATTGTGGCCATCACCTCAAGCAGGCGCTTCGCCGGGAATGGGCCAAAATACCGCAGAGCAACATTCGGGCAGCGTGTGACGGTTTCATTGACCGTGCAGGTCATAATTCGTGCCAATGGTGACCAATTCAAACAAATCATACTTATTCTAAAATTTGATGCTATTTCCAACATTTTTTGCTTTCACTCAATAAAATTTAAAAAAAAATGTAAAAAATATGGCGTTTGACTTTTTTGCAGTTTATTTTATTTCATCCTGCATATACCCTCTGCAGCCATATGATAAAATTCTAATTTGAAATTTAGCACAAAGGTTTACATTGTATTCAAGCTGATTCTCTGCAGTTCACCTCTCTCCCTGCAACAAATATTCGCTCTAGGTCCACTAATTTGTTTAGATCCCATACAACGGAGCCCTTCGATATTCGGTATGATAAAAGTTTCTGCCACAATTTCCAATCAAATCAACTGAAACTTGACAGTTGGGGTTCTCGAAAGGTCTCTTCTCTCCCCGCAAAAAATATTCGCTACAGGTCCACTAATTGGTAAGACCGCTATATAATGGTACCTACCGATTTTGAAGGTTTCTGCCACAATTTACAAAAAAAATTAGCTAACACTTAACATTTGGGGTTCTCGTTAAGTTTTATCCTTGCAAACAATATTCGATTCACGTCCACTGATTGCTATGGTCCCATATAACGGTACCTTCAGATTTTCGGTATTTTTAAGTTTTCTGCCACAATTTACAACCAAATTAAATGAAACTTTACATTGAAAGTTCTTGGTAGGTCGTTTCTCTCCCAGCAAAAAATATTCGCTACAAGTCCACTAATTGGTATGGCCGCCATATAATGGCACCTCCGTTCTTTCGGTATTTATACCCTACACCACATGGTGTTAAGGGTATTATGCTTTTGCGCATTTCTTTGTAACATGGAGAAGAAAGCGAGATAGACGCATAGTTATTTTTGAGGATCTTCATAGAATCAGTTTCTGAGTCAATCTATGCATGTCAATCCGCCTGTCTGTCCGTTCGTCCGACTGTCCATGTATTTTTGTGAACAGAATGGAGGTTGCATTTATTATCCGATTAAGATGAAATTTTCCAAACAATATTTGCTTGGCCCAAGAACGAACCCTTTTGAAATTGGTGAGAATCGGTTCAAATTTAGATATGGCTTCAACCGATTTCGGGTTTATTGTGCACCAAATGGCCAATATTAGTTCAAATGACCTGAATTTCGGCACATCCGACTGAATTCAGTCTAGAAGCAAGTACATCAAATTTGGTTCAGAAATAGCTATAGCTCCCATGTATGTGTTTTATCCGATTTGGGGTTTAAAGTTCCTCACATGGGTAATATGCATTGCACAACAATGATCTTTGGTACCAGATATCAGATACAGCTCTGAAATACGTGTATCATATGTTGTCAAGATCGGTTCAGATTTGAATGTAGCTCCCATATATATCCTCAACCGATTTCGGGTTAATTGTGCACCAAATGGCCAATATCAGTCCAAATAATCTGAATTTCGGCATTTCCAACGGAATTCAGCCAAAAAGAAGGTACTTCAAATTTTGTTGAAAATCGATTCAGATATTGTTATAGCTCCCATATATGGGTTTCATCCGATTTGGGGTTTAAAGTCCCTTACATGCATAATATGCACAACAATGATATAAGATACCGGGCATCAGATACTGCTCGAAAATACCTCTGCCAAATGTTATCGTGATCGGCTCAGATTTTTATGTAGCCTCATCAAATTGTAGGTTATTACTCACCATATATGTAATATCAGCCCATATTAAAGAGATTTTTTCATATTCCACCGAATTCTAGGTGGTGTAGGGTATCATATAGTCGGCCCACTCTACTTTTACCGTCTCCTTTTCTTTGTGCCACAATTTCCAATCACATCACCTGAAACTTTACAATTGTGTTTTTTCCATTATTACTCTCCAATATAGTTGTGTCAATATAGTTCAGTATTCCAGTATCCACACGTATGAGTGATTTCATAAATTTCATTTATTTAATATCACTCATACGCAGAGTTTTCACACAAACGACGGGTGCACGGAACCAGATAAGGAATTGTTTGTTCGTTCAAACTAGATGGGCACAACTCTATTCTCCACAAATTGGAAGGAACATCGCTATAATTTTAACCAGTAATGAAAAGTCAAAAGTCGGGCGAGGCCGACTATATGATACCCAACACCACCATGCATGTTTAGTAAAGGTCCCGTAACAAAATAATTTATTTTACGTAGGTCATACCATCTATCAACATTTGGCTTTAGAGTAGTAATAGTTTGCTATAGAGTGCATGATATCACTTGGAGGAGGATTATATTAAAAAAACATATATCGGAGCCGAGTTGCACAAAATGGAAACGTACGTCCCGAAATTCACTCCATTTAAGCTGATATTACCATAATTTGCACAATAAACCTGAAATCAGATTAATCGGATACATGGGAGATATATCCAAATCTTTGCCATTCTCGATAAAATTCGGCAAATGTATTTTCGAGCTTTATAAGATATCTGGTTCCAAATATAAATGTTGTCGGATGCATATTACGAATGTGAGGAACATAACTACCAAATCGGATAAAAAATATATATGGGAGCTATAGCTATATCTGAACCGATTTTCTCCAAATTTAATGTACTTTCTTCTAGTCTGAATTCGGTAAGATGTACAAAAAATTCAGGATTTTTGGACAGATATTGGCCATTTGGTGCACAATAATCCGAAATTTACGATATATTCAAATCTGAACCGATCTTTATAAAATTTGGCAGGGGTATTTCTCAGCTCTATAAGATATCTGGTACCAAAAATGATTGTTGTCGAATGCATATTACGAATGTGAGGGACTTAAACACCAAATCGGATGTAACATATATATGGGGCCTGAAGCTACATCTGAACCGATTTACACCAAAATTTACACAAAAATTACTATATAGGATGAATTCAGTCGTATTTGCCAAAATTCAGTTCATATGGGCTGATTTAGCCATTTGATGCACAATAAACCAGATTTCGAATAAAATGTATATAGGAGCTATATCCTAATCTGAGCGGATCTCGATAAAATTTTACAGAAATATTTTTGAGCAGCATCTGATATCCGGTACCAAATATCATTCTTCTGGAGTGGATATTATGCATGTGAGGGAGTTAAAACCCCAAATCGGATGAAACATATATATGGGGGCTATAGCTACATCCGAAACTATTTTCTTTTCCAAATTTGAAGTAATT